AAAAAAAAAGAGGATGTGTCCCATCAGGGGAGGGAGGGGGTGGGGAGAATCCAAATAGTATTTTTGTGGGGAAATATCTAATATACCTTCAGTCAACTTGACCAGTCAGTCCTGGATTTTAGAGATCATTGTCTGAAAGTACATCATTTGTACCTGAACCGCTGTCCCCTGGCGCTCCACCCCGAAAGCCCCAGCATCTTTCCTGCGCTGCGGTTGGGGGAGGAAAGCGTTTGATTCTGCCCACAGGGCCAGTGCCAAGGCAATCAGATCTTTATGAAAGCAGTATTTTCTGTGTTTTCTTTTTAATTTACAGCCTTTCTTATTTTGGTATTTTTTTTTAACGTTGTGGATGAATGCCACCTTTCAGACGGAGCCCACTTAGCTTGTCCATATGTATCTCGATGCCAAGCCTCCATTCTTCCTCTCCAGATATTTTTGGGAGTAACAAACATTCTCTCATCATACTTAGCCTACCTAGATTTCTCATGACGAGTTAATGCATGTCCGTGGTTGGGTGCACCTGTAGTTCTGTTTATTGGTCAGTGGAAATGAAAAAAAAAAAAGTCTGCCTTCATTGCAGTTCCAGTTTTCTCCCATCTGTGTCTCAGACACCAACACACCACCCATTGGAAAATGGAAAATAAAAAAAAAAACAAAAAATAAAAAAAATGTACAATGGATGCATTGAAATTATATGTAATTGTATAAATGGTGCAACAGTAATAAAGTTAAACAATTAAAATGTAGTAAAGGCTGTTGGCTTTCTTTGCCTTTCCTTAGCTGTAGTGGGTGCTTCTCTTTCCTGCATATGATGGAATGAAGGTATGAAGCAGGATCCTAAAGTCTTCTTGACCATTATCTTTAAAACCCACACAAAGCAGCACCAACAGTGGAATCAATGTCAGTTCAGTCAATCCCATGAGATGAACAGGAAAAAGTTCTATGGGTTTACACCCAACGATGGCGTGTGGATGTAATTATCAATACTGTAAGAGAGCGAATATTTTGATTGAAACATTAAAAGACAATTAAGAACTGCATATTGAAGACAGGGAAGAATAGCACGATCTTATAGAGACATCCTATGTGTCTAAGTTGTGAAGCCATTGACCAGCATCTATGCCTGCCCCTCCTTCAGGTGAACAGAGAGCAGAGCAGGGGAAGGGACCAGGAAAGCCATGAAGGTGGTAAAAAAATATTAGGGCTTCTGCTTTCTCCAGACTGCAGTTGCAAGACCGCAATTTCAAGGGATCATAAACCTGTGACCTCTAAGACAAGAACCCTGTGATAAGTGAAATAGGTAAAAGTTTGTATACATGCCAGAGAACCGTGTATACCACGGGCAGACATGCTAGCCTGTCACCACGGATGACTCCATTACTGGGGTAGTGACCATCTGTGTACTCAGGGTCCCCCTGTGGTGCACGTGGAAAAGAGGTTGGAGGATGGTGGCTTCTGAGTGCGCGCACATCAGTTCTTGAGTGTAAGAAAAAGAGTGATTGTCTGTCGGATGCTGAGAGTAGTTTGGGTGTTTCGGATACTAGACACAATGTTTAAAAAAGAAACCTAAGCACTGCAAAGTTTTCTCAGACTTGAATCAGAGAAATGCCCAGGAAAATAAGCAACAGTTTCATATTTAGAGTGTTGCTTGGAGAGTTTCCTGGAGAATCCGTGGAGGTCATGGACCGTATATGATGCTGTGGGTCTGAATCAGCCTGGCTCCATTCCTGTGGGCTACCTGAAGAGGAAAGAGCCCCTCCCCAGGTATTTCCTGAGTATCTGGAATCAGTACCACACCCGGAGAAGCAGAAATGGTGGCATTGCACTAGTTAATGTAATTTGGAGTTCAGACCATGATCACAATCATGTCTAGCTCTTGGGGTTCTTGTTTTTATAATGAAATAAATTTGAACTCTTAATGCACGAAAGCACAGCACACATAAACTATGTTAAAACATTAACCACCAGCCAACTGTTTTAGGGAAGAAACATGGCAGGGGACTCTTCAGGGCATTACCAGTTGTCCTAGAATATATAAAATCAGGTAGGGGTGGGGTTCTGGTATTAGGGAAGTGACAGATTCAACAGCTGTGGAAGACATTTGTAAAATTGCAGACTATCTCTAAAATGAAAAAGAAGACTTATTTTTAAAAAATAATTATCAATGGCTGCAAAGTGGTTATGAATATTAGATGGCCTTAATTTATCACAATAAAACATGCTTGGTGGAAGTAATATTTGATAGATTTACTTTCTCCTCCCACCATTTTAATGAAAATGTTTACATGCTTTCGGGTGAGAACAATCAACTCGGGCTCTCAGGGTAACATTTATCACTCTAAGTTTCTGGATTGGATAAGGGAAATAAGTAGACACAGTTCAGTTTATGTGTAGAGTTGAAGGATGTGCTATGAAGTAATTCAAATCTGAGATACATCTATGCACTAAATTTCTGTTATTTCGTATATGACACCTAATTTTATCATTCTTTAAAAACCTTTGAAACTATTATATCCAGCAGAAAACCTAGACCATGGGAATGCCTGGCTCAGGTAGGAAAAGAACGGTGTTGAATACTCATATTAATCTGGGACTTTTCCTCGGCCATTCCCTCCTTAATCCTATGAAGTGAAGGCACATCAGTGCACATGCTGTGATAAACACATCCCAACTGCCTGTGAAGTTCAGATATTTGCTTCATTAACTGGGTATCACAATCTTTCCTGAAGAATGAGTGACTCTAGGGTTCACATCCCTTGAGTGCTTGTGTGTATCTTGTTAGAGGGGAATGGATAGGAACCAACATGAATGTTCCCAAGGTTGCTGAGTTTGTTCTTCCTCTTTGCTGGTCCTACCCTGAATGGTGGTCATGTCCTCTATGTTGCAGATAGATGCAGGCCCATAAGACCTGGGTAGTGCCATGCATTCTGGGATGGTCTGATGTCACCTCAAGTCTGGAGGGGTTCATTCTTAGGCAACTTCCAGTCAGTGAAGAAGGAGGAGCTTGGGAAAAAGGCAGGAGCATCCTTCAGTGTCTTGGGACCTCTTTTGCTTACTAGAGTCAAGACCCAGGTTGGGTGGACTGTAAGGACATGCTTATCAACTACCTGCCATGATCTGGACTTAGCTGGCTGCCAATGTTAGGCAAGCTATTAGGTTCTAGATGCCCAGATACCTGAGTCTGCAATCATTGAACACCCTGGAACTTTAGTCTTCACCTAGTGAAATACCATGGCACACGGGAACATGGGTTTCTTACTGAGACAGACAACATTACAACTTTAGTTCACCAACAAAATTGGCCCTGAATGGAACATCAGTTTTTTAGTGTTCATTGTTATATATCAGGGTTTGATACACAGCAAATTACAGCTATTTCATTTGTTGGGAGAAAGATCTATTTAGACAACTTGCTAAACTTTTAATTTTGGTTGTTATGCAGTCTCTTGAAACTGGTGAGATCCATCGCCATTGTTTAACTCAGTTCAGCCTTATAACATTGCAGATGTATTTTACTTGAGATTTATTTTAACTAATTTGCACAATACCGAAGACTGGATTCTCAGGGAATAATCTTAAATATGTACCATAATCATCATGAGTAGTTTTGGGATTCATCCCAGTTGTATTTTTTGGGGGGAAGGTTATAATTTCACTACAGAGTCTGGCTGTCCTGGAACTCATCGTGTAGCCCAGGCTAACCTGAAACTCACAGAAATCTGCCTGCCCCTGCTTCCCAAATGCTGGGACTAAAGACATGTGCCACCAAGCCCACTGGCAGAAGCTTTGCAAAAGGCTTCATTTGAAACTGGCAGTATTTTTTTTTTCTGCCAAGCAGTTGATATTTAAAGAATTTACCAAAGGAGAGGTGAAAAGGGTGACACAGAAGGTTTTCATGAGACTTTGGTGTGCCATTAGTTTTGGAATAAGCCGTTCTTCATCATGAGATTACATGCGTTCTGATCTCAATGGCAACATTTTCAATGGCATCTGAAGTCCCAGAGCCTGGAGGCTGGCTGGTTAACGCATTCCTCCTCATTCTTAGTCTTCACGTTAAGAGCGGTCTCTGCTGTAGAGCCTTATGGTACCATTCACATCTGTATTCGAGGAGATTCCTAGAGAGAATTAGGTTGGAAAAGAACACAGTCTTGAAAAAAAAAATCCCAGCACAACGGTATTCATGAAAACAAAACAACAAAACAGAATACATCTTTGTATCTTACCTACCCCTTACTTTCATTTTTTTTTCTGAAATGCAAACATCACATTGGTTTCTTTTGTTTCTGTTTTGTTAGAAAGTAATTTTATATCCCCCCCTCTCCCTGACACCCCGGGTTCTCCTCTGGATTTGGGAAATTCACTTTTAAAGTTACATATAAATCAGCTGGCATCAGGTGGCACATCTTTTTCTTTGACTTTCTTCTGGTCAATGTGTTACAATGCCAAGGGATGAGCGGCAGATTCACCTGCTCAGATTGGGAGTCACATAAGAGAACACTCACTCTTGCTCTCCTTCATCCAGTTCTGCCTGAATTCACACTGTCCAAAAGAGATTAAAACCTTCCCAAGAAAATGTGACCTCTCACTAAAACAAAAT